GGGGCTGGGGGCCTGGGACATAACTGGAGTCGGGAGGGGGTCTGGGACAGAAGCTCCATAGACTAGTTCAACCTAAATCAGTTAAGTCTGATACTACATCCATCCAGAGTTATCTTAAATGGGGTATGGCCATTTTGAAAATAGTTTATGTGTACTGAACTTCTGTTTGGTGACAAGTTTAAACTGGTTTCTGATCACTTATACTGGCTTATGTGTAACTTCTGTCCCTAGGCCAAATGTTGGAAGCTTCCCCCAAGTTGCACTACCAGTCCTAGAGGAAGCCAAGCTCTGTGATAATGCAGTAAGAATGAGAAGTAACAGTGACAGTTATAACTGTAGGATGTATTTTCAGTTCATTCAGCAAATTTCAGATAGTCTGGGAGCATTTACTTCAAACCCAAACAAAAGGCTTCATTTTTTGGTGAGCGCGCGTGTGTGTGTGTTTGGGAGGGGGCGGGGTTTAAGAACAGTTTCAAGATGTTCAAGTTCCAAATGAATATGCAGGCATTTCATTTGAAAATGTCAAAATGAAACACTGAGGTTTCATTTCTTTCAAGTAAGGCCACTTGCTGAACTTAGGATCACTTTGGTTCCCCTTAAACTGCATTTTTCGGTGCATTTCCTTTATGTCAAAACAAACTCAGCCCCCACTGTACTCACAGCTACTAGAACAACCTTAAAGCACGAAGGCAGCATATTTCATAACTTGCTGATTGCTATTTTTGGATAAGCATGAAAATCCAGGACAAAACAAAACTAGGAACTGCTGGGGCAGCTGCATCCATTCTCCTCGGGACATCATCCAACACCATTTTTCAAACTCAAGAAGAGAACACAGGTACTTTAAAGCTTATTCTGAATATGTTTCTACACTCATACATATATGCACATTATATACACTTGAATCAATAGCTACATTTTCAAGGCTTATATTAATTATTAAATGTATGTATTGTTCTTGCTGACTACCAGGGCTGAAAAGCTCAAGAGCCTGAGCAAATTAGATGGCTAAAACCCATGAGTCCCTGTCTCCCTCGGGCTCCTTTAACAATCCCAGTCCAGGGAATGCCGAAGGTGCATATACTGTAGTGATGGACATGTTCTGATTGTTTTTGTGCACTTTAAAATCTTAGGGCAGCTGCCATTTAGTGAGGCTGGAGGCAATAGTTGGTTAGTTGCCCAACTCCCACCTTCCCCAATCATTTAGAACAAAAGTCATTCATATCGAAAGCACCTGGTCCTTAGGCTACGGGAAAGCATCACAGGAGGCAAGTTTAAATCCAAGCTATCCCATATAGCTATTTCTTTCTGAAAAGCCTTTGCTTGACTCAGCCTGTAGAGCAGAAGGTGGAATTCTGCTTCCCTTTGTGCATTTAAATGGAAGTTTTCTAGCCACACGAGTGGAAGTTTTGTTACTTGGGTGCAGGTAGTGATTCAAAGTCCCCTGCCTAAGGGTGCAGCCGGGTATGGTACATACACAGCTACATATGCATGTACCTTGGCATAAGATCAGGAGAAGGGGAATGGAAGGGCCCCAGTACCTGAGTGGTGAGGGTACTCATCCAGGAACCAGACACCTGGGTTCTGGGACCCTTCCCCCGGATGGCGTTTCAATCGGCACCTCTCTGACTTCTCAGCATTGTTAGCATCTAAACATCATACTACAGTTTAAGTATTCCCTGGCCCTCGCTTCACCAATACTTTTGAGGCTGCCTCTTGTATTTAATAGTCAGTCACTGTCTACTTTCCCCCATCACTGATATCAACACTTTCTGGGGAAGCATTTCAGTTTTGGTGAAACCATTCTTTGATGGAAAACTCTTCCACTGAATTTTTTCTTAGCCAGCTAAAGGTGGGATGTGCGAGAGAGCAGATGTGAACAACAACAACGTTAAATTAAAAAAAAAACCCACAAGGAAATGACCAATTTTTATTAAGGTGCTGTTTTCACATATGCTTGCAAGGCAAACTAGCATATTTAGCTACAGAAGGATGTATTCGCTGTGTAAGGACACCTCAAAACAACAAATAAACACAGCATTAGGATGGTGCACTGAGGAAGCTTGAAAGAAAGTAGGCTGTCCAGTATAGAGGCCGCGTTCTGCTCTGACACATGCCTCTGATCTCACTGGAGATGAACAAGTAAGAGCAAAAGTTACACCAATCATTTAGGAACATTTGGCTGAATGTGCAAATCAAGATACACCATTGCTCCAGTACAATATCTGCTCACTGATGGCTACATGAATCTCAAAACTAGGCACAGCTTCCTGCTGGCCCTTGGATATCAATGGTAGTCACAGCTGTCTGGAAGAGTCTGTCAGGCTCCCAGGACTGGCTGTCACAGTCCAGCTTGCAGCTAACAAAATATCTCCTGAATCCGTTCGGTGCCATTGATGGACTGCTTTGGTTGGTGCCTGCTAACGGATGTGGGTCAATGCCTGGAAAACAGCAAACCCAGTTTAGATTTACACCATGACAACACGGTTTTATTAATAAAAGTTGTTCCTGCTCATTGTGGGTGAAATTCTCCCCTCTGCAAGGGACCAGTATGCATCGCTCAGTTGGGATCTAAGTGGATCCTAAATACTCAAAATAGGACCTAAGCAGGCTTTAAGTGGGAAATCAGTCTTGTGCTGGCCTTCTGCACAAAGCTGGATCTCCCCCTGCATGCAATTAAGACTAGAAACACAATGGCACATGGGCTCAAAGGACTTAGGTAACTGCATCAAAGCCGATAGTTTCTCTGCAGGTAGGGTCTCTGAGACTGTAACACAAACTTCCAAGTTAAGCTATGCATTTTATTCTTATGTACGATACAATCTCATACATTTGTATTCATAATCCTGAAGGATTCCAAGTTCCTTTACAAAATATATATTCTAGGCAACCAAATTGCTCCACCTGTATTTGAAATGTAGCTACCTCTCAAGTGAAATTCAATGAACAGCCTGCAGTAACCACATACCACAGTGCCAGAGAGGCAGTGAAGCACACCAGTTGAAGCTTTTATATGGGCAAAAAAAGCCATGACCTGACGTGAAATGTGGCCAGAATGCTTGGGCTACCTTGACTTTTATTATGGATATCACAGTGTGAAATCATGGTCTTATGAGTAGATAGCGACCCTCACAGCATGCTGCATCCTAACACCATGCTGAGATAGTGGCTCGTTATTGACTCTAAATGATCAGACCTGCTTCTAGCAGCACCCTGGACTATCCTGGGTGATTCTGGCAGTGAAAGGCCCTGCAGAAATTTCAAAACTGTGCCAAATTGCTTGGCCAACTTAAAATAAAACAAAATGCGCAGCATATTTTTCTTTAACATAGTTTCTGCTCACCACCATCATCACCCCTCCAGATTTCTTGTTAAATGAAAGGACAAGAGGAAGCACAGGGGACTGATAATGGCACACACAGTGTTCCCATCTCATATTCATTGATTCTCATGCAACCCTGGGTGGTAGTGACTGAAGTGGCCCAGGCCAGGTTCAAACCAATGGACGTGTGTGTCCATGTCACAAAATAGCAGCCAGTGTGCGAGTGACCCAACAGACAAACAGAGGAGCAAATGGACATCTCTTGACCCCAGAGAAGCCCCTTTCAAGATAGAAATGAAGGTGAAATAATGTGAAGAAACCTGCAGTGCTGCAGCTCTTGCTGTAGTTGTTGCAGGGATAAACACAGGGTTTTGGTCTCTCAAGATGTTAATCCAGCACTTCCCATCAACATCAAATACAACAGGAAAAACCCTTAAACCTATTTTATTTATATATGTGCTACAGAAGTTAGAGCTGGAAGGGACCTCCCCAGGTCATCTACTCCATCCCCAGGCTCTGAAGCAGGATTCGGTGCACCTAGACCGGTCCTGACAGATGTTCGTCTCCCAACGAAGGGGATTCCACAACTCCCTGTACAGTCCTCACTATCCTTCTCATTAGAAAGCCCTTTTCCTGATATCTATCCTAAATCATCTTTGCTGTAAATGAAGATTATTACTTCTTGTCCTATTGCCTACAGAAGTGGAGAACAACTGATCGCGGTTCTCGACAACAGCCTTTTACATGTTTAAAGACTGTTAGCAACCTTCTTTTTTTCTAAATTTAAGTAAACCCAATTCTGTCGACTTGTCTTCATCAGTCATGTTTCCTAAACCTCTTATCACTCTTCCTGCTCTCCTTGGGAAATTCTCCCCTCTGCAAGGGACCAGTATGCATCACTCAGCTGGGGCTTTGCTAATTAGCAGCCATCCTATCTTTATCATTTTTTCCTCCTCATCTTCTTCATAAGCAATGGTATTTAACAGGCAACACTTCACAGACTGCACAAATATTAGTTTTCACAATAGCCTTGGGAGGAAGGCAGGTATGATCATCCCTAGCATGCAGACAGGGAAAACTGAGGCAGGAGGGTTAAGTGACATGCTCATGGGCACACAAGGAACTGGTGTCAGAGCTACTGGTAGCACCCAAGAGATCCTAACTCTAAGTCCAAGCTCTCTCTGGTATGTCTTACTACCTCAGAGTAAATCACAGACAACAGCAAGCTTTTACCTTTAGAAGCTGCTAAAAGTCTCCTGAGCTACAGACACTTTAAACTTCTGACCTCATGATATTATGAAAAAGCAGCAGAGACTTTCTTAATTTATGTAAAGGGGACTTGCTATTGCCAGGATTCCTTTCACTCCTCCCATAACATTATTCTCCTGCATTTACAGCAGCAGGAAGCTCTGGTCTTGGGCCTCAGTATGACCCATACGTCAGAATGGGAGTTTTTTTCATAATGTTTCAACAAAGCCAAACAGCAACTTCCTTCTTGCTGCTGGTGAAGTGGCCAGCCGTGTGAGGTAAGCTGAGGCTCCCAGGCCTCATGCAGCGGCTTGCTGGGTAGGACGGGAG